CCTATTACGATATCTATTCATATCAATGTGTCGATACGTCTGCGCTTGCATGCACTCGCGCTTGCAAACTGCAGGCGATGATCATGATAATCACTCGACTCAACTCACTGCATTGGAACGCACCATGGCCAACAGTTCTTTGATATCATAGCGTCAACCACTCCCGCTCGAAAAGCCGCACCAAACAAGCACCACGGTACCGATGAAACCCCGCAGCGGTGATGAGTACAAAAGAAGACTGTGGTTCTAATTGTCTACCGTACAAAGAGAGGAGAAAGTAGCTGGCTTATATACAAAGGAAAGTACACCTAACCCAGAGACCCGAGTGCTATCTCATGTAGAGCTGTAGAGCTAGGCTTCGTTGAGCTCACACCTGGAACTAGCTACTCGGTCGAGACTAAACTCCACCACTGATACACTTCCTATGCTTAGTGCCTCCGGCAAATACAGGAACTCCTTCGGCCGAACTTCTGTCAACAAGCGGGATATCGAGTGTGTCTGGTACGGAGTGGAGACTGGCGAGGTCTAGATCCGCTGGGCGAAATGAGGCTCAGGGTCGAGCTTCTCCCGCTACAAATGCGAGCTTCCGTATCTACGCTCCGTCAGTTTAGCCCTACCCGTACTTTAAATACCATTTGTTGGCAATTGTTTTTAAGTATTTACAACCGGGTTCAAGTTGTTCCCGTTTCAACCTCTATCAGTCCAGACAAATGGTTCAAATTCTTTGGACGGACAGAAAAATCTCTGTTGATACGTGCTTAGAGTGAGGATGCAGGATATTCTGCTGATTTTGTGGTTGGTTAATTCAGTTATGTGTTCTTTTGAATAGTTCGCAGCTTGCAGTTGGGAGACGGAGGAGACTCGAACTCGGCCCATAAGGACGAGTTTGAGGATGCTAGCTACCAATGTCACTGATAGTTAAGGAATCTCACAAAGTCATTCTTAACAAACCCACTATGGGAGAAATCTAGTCTTTCTGGAAATAAAGTTCGTCCTACATATCCTCCAGCTGCATTTCTGCATGTCGTCCCAGGGTAATTAGGGAAACTGCAGTATGCATCGTGTAACGGGATGAAGGATTTCACACTTCTCTTCGGGCTTCTGCGTTTTAATGTACTTCTGCAGTATAGAGTACAGATGTATCGATGAGGGAGTTGCAAACACTTCGGGCTTCTGCGAGATCCTGCTTGCGGGAAAATGAATGATGTTCCGATCGATGGTTCCGGCGTGTTGTGAGTCAAACATCGGATATTCGTGCCGCTTAAAGACGAACCCCCCGATATGGTTGGTTATAAGCGGTGATATCGCCATACGGTGGCCCATATTCGGATGTGATTTGTATGATTTCGAATTCATGAGATTCCAGAGAAAAGAAACCATCATATAACTGCAATATTGATCGCGTGCCCGCCAACCATCAGAGGTTGAAATACCGTTATCCTTATCGATAAACCAGACCAATTAATTAATTAATAATCTCGGACTTTACCCCCATCTAAACTCCGAGATCTTGTTGCCACCAGTTCGCATCACCGGGCACGGATATCTCGGCCCACTCCCTGTTAGGCAGCCTAGGGAAAAACACTAGCAGCGCCTGTTATTCCCGCCCACTACTTAAGAGAAACAAAGCCCCATTTCACACACAAGCTTTTTTGGTAAAAGTCTCAATGAGATCATGTCGACTGAAACTCCAACACCACAATTCGCCGCTGAAACCTCCCCTGATGCTGGAGAGAATGAAGGATCACGTGATTTGAACCTCTCACGGACAATATCAGAGGCTTATTCTGTCTTCACCCTGACGCAGAAACGATGGATTGTCCTTCTAGTCGGAATTGCATCTTTCTTCTCCCCTTTAAGTGCTAATGTCCTCCCTCTACCCTCCCCTCCCCCCCTTCCTTCCAACTGACAGAGGGTAGATATACTTCCCCGCTCTCTCCTCCCTCTCCAACCAACTCCATGTCTCCACAGAACTCATCAACCTGACAATAACAAGCTACATGGTCTTCCAAGCCCTCGCCCCTACAATCTTTGGCGAGCTCGCGGATTCCTTAGGAAGAAGACCAGTGTACATCCTCCTCTTTGTAATTTACATCTGCGCGAATATAGGATTGGCTCTGCAGAGATCGTATGCCGCCTTGATTGTGCTACGGATGCTGCAGTCTACGGGGTCGTCGGGGGTGATTGCGCTTGCCAGTGGGGTGGTGGCAGATATTTCACATGCAGGAGAGAGGGGTGTGTATATGGTCCGTTCCCTCCTTCCCCCTAATCCCCCGAAGAGAGCTGATGAACAAAGGGCGCAGTAAATATCGGCGCCATGCTCGGCCCTGCGATCGGCCCGGTTATTGGCGGTGTACTGGCGAACCAGCTCGGGTGGTGGTGGATCTTTTACCTCCTCATTATCTTGTCTAGCATATTCGTCGTCCCGCTCCTGCTGGTTTTTCCAGAGACTAGTAGACGGGTAGTCGGAAACGGCTCTACCCCTCCATCCTCCAGAATCAATAAGAGCATACTACCACTTCTCTCTCCCCGTGGGACGGGAACACCACTCCCCAGACCACCACTGAAGTTCCCAAACCCCCTTGCGAGCATTAGACTACTCTTTGAGAAAGACATGGCCATAGTCCTCTTCGCCAACGGGATTTTATACACAGCATGCTACACCGTGATAGCGAGTCTTCCTTCTTTATTCCTCGAGATATACGGCCTCGACTCCCTACAAGTCGGCTTATGCTACCTCCCCTTCGGCGCAGGATGTGCAGTCGCCAGCGTCGGTGCGGGAAAGATAATAGATCGCGACTACAGAGTTGTGGCGAAACAGAATGGGATAACGACGAATAAAAGGAAGGGGGAGGATATGACTCGGTTCCCGATTGAAGCGGCAAGGTTGAGAAGTGTCTTTTGGATTCTCGCAGTGTTTGCTGCTACGCTTGTCGCGTATGGGTGGGTTTTAGATGTTGAGACTGTACGCCCTCCCCTCACCACGCAGTCGCCTAGCCCCCCCCTTCCCATGCTGACACGGGGTCACAGTCCATCGCAGCCCCCCTGGTCCTGCAGTTCATATGTGGCATCTTCGGGACGGGTGCGTTCACGATTATTAGCACACTAGTGGTCGATCTATATCCAATGAAACCGAGCAGTGCGACGGCATGTAATAATCTTGTGAGATGTTTGATGGGGGCGGGAGGAACGGCCGCGATTGAGAGTATGATTAGTGCGATGGGGAGGGGGTGGTGTTTTACGTTTGTTGCCGCGTTATGTGCGGGTATGGCGCCGTTGTTTTGGGTGGAGAGGAGGTGGGGAATGAGGTGGAGGGGGGAGAGGGCGGGGAGGCAGGTGGGGAGGGAAAGGGGGGAAAGAAGGGAGGGGGAGGAAAGGGAGGAGGTGGGCGAGGGTAAGGTATGATGCAGTGATGGAACATGTGACCGGCTCGAATGGCCAATACCGGCCGTAAGACGTTTCATTTTGGATCAACTCCTCGGTGGCATATTTCCATTGCTAATCGGAGGTTTCGTGAAATGAAAATATGAGTTGTAATAGATAGGATTGGTTGAGCAGGAATGAGGAATATAAACCGCTGAAGCGGCGGCAGCTGATACATGTTTTTTTTCCTTGGTAACGTCCAACATGTAAATATAGACAGAGCGAGTATTGTTCGTGATGAAGTGGGTGGTTCTACATAACAGATTGTTCTTCATGATGTGTGATATATGGCCCACTGGTAAAGTGTTGGTATGGCAGAGGGTTGATATAAAAAACCCACCCACGCTCTACACACCCGGCCCTCGCACAACACAGTGTTCATCTCTGCGTGTAACACCCAAAGACACCGACATCCTGTGCTTAGGTTATCCCACACGTATCCTTACTATGGGGAGTTAAATCCTTTAATCACATATCTTACTCACAATAGAAGGACTACAAATCATGAATCATCTCTCGTCCTCCACCAACTCCAGGAAAAGTGCTCACACCTCCACACCCTCTCACTCGTACAAATCCCCATCTTAACCTTGACCCTACACGCATCATGTTGAAGCCACAACCTAATTCCCCATCGCGCCATTGAAAGCCTCCCACCCCTTCTATCCCTCCCCCTCCCCCATACATCACTACAACCACCACACTACCACCACCACACTACCACCACCACAATATCATCACCATGTTCTTCCACGCCCTCAATCCCCTCCCCCTTCCCGTACCATTACCCCCCACCCCCTCAACAGCCGTAATCCACCTCCGCACCGGCGGCCGCGTCTACCTCGACCAACGGCACATCTCGCCCCCCCGCTTCCCCTTCCTCCTTCGCGCGAGAGGTACTTCACAAAAACCAACCGTCTCCATTATTCCCACCGGCTCTTACAATCTGCCCCTAGATCTCAGAACGTTTCTGTTTGAGTACTCTGGCCCCGACCCGCCGAGTTTGAGGGAGTTTAGAAGGTTGGCGGAAGTGTTGGGGGAGAAAGTGAGGGGAGAGGGGGAGTTTGATGGGAAGCGAGTACTAGAAACGATGGAGGAGATGTTGACTGTGCTGAAACACCTGGAAAAGCAGAGGCCCGAGGAGTTGAGAGGGAATTGGGATGTGGTGCAGGAGTGGAGGGAAGATTTGGAGGTTGCCAGGAGGGGGGTGAGGAGGGTTGTTAGACTAGGGATGAATGGAGAGGAGACGATGAGAGGGTTGAGGAGGGTGAGGTTGGTGAGGTTGGCGTTTGAGGAGAGGGGAAGGGGTGGGGAGAAGACGGAGGTTGTGAGTGAGAATGTGGGTGCGGTGGGGTAATGGCTTGGGCGGTATTGTCGGGCGTTATCGGAAAATGGTGGGAGACAGCGGGGTTGGGTTAGACGTGAGGTGATTTGGAGGAGGTATGTGCAATACGTAATGGCGGAATCAACTCGACAGTACTCTCCTTCAGGGCATCGCTGACGGTTGTTTTAGTACAGAACGTTCTCGAGAGCTCCAGCTGTTCGTCTCGAAGCATACTTAGTAGGTATCTCAAAGCAATCGATGAACTTCTCCTATGTATATATACCACGCCCCATCGAACAGAACCGTACAGAGGCATACCTATAAGCAAGAATGGTCACTGTTTTGAGCAGGAAATTTGACGAAAAAGGTATTGGGTTAGGGTCAATAAATACAACTACACTCCCGCCTCCAGTGACATAACTCATTCCAAGGGTACTTAATATACACAAACAATCGTAGATAAACTCCAAAAGAATGCTCCATCCAAGATGCACCGCTTAATAATACTTAAAGAATACGCAAAATCGCTCTCGCTCATATCTGCCGTAATCCACATGTGTCTGAATTCCCGAAATCGCCCACTTAGGCGCCTGCTGGTTGTGGTACGGAGGCCATAAAGTGCAGAGGACGCGGTCGAAGAGGTAGGATCAGAAGTCGCGGGTTGCGCAACGGGTACTTATCCTCGAACTTGGTCTCCCTAGTCGTCGTTGTGGCCCCCTTGCCTACATTCGCATGTCCGAATCCTGAATCCTGTGCCGCATCGTGCTCCGCTTCCGTTTCGTGCGTATTCTCCGACTCTGGCAGTGATGCTTGTCCCGCCTCCACCACAACCTCGTTCCTCAACTTACTCCCCCTCCTAACACAATACGGATCCGTCTTGATGGGCAAATATACACCCCACGGCAGCAGTGTCTCAGCTGGCAGCACACTCCCAAACCTTTCCTCCGCCCTCGGCAACCCGCCCGTATCCCTCCTCTTCACACTTACAATCCTCCCTCCATCCCCCTTCCCCCCACTCCTTTTCCACGGCAATACCTCCCACTCCCCCCCCTTCCTCCCCCCCTCCGTCCCCCTTCCCTCCATCCCTCCAACCCTCTCCCAATCCCCTCCCCCCACCCTTTCAAAAAACTCTCCCCTCGCCTCCTCCCCAGCCCACAACCTACACCTCCTCCTCCACATCCTATCCACCCTTCCCCCAAGCCACACCCACGCCCCATTCGCACTCCCAAGTGCATGATAAAACCTCGCATCATACACCTTTGGCGCCGGGGAGAGGTACGTACTCGTGTCTCCCTCTATGGGGTGTATCAGCGACGGCAGGAGGCAGAAAAGGATGGTATTTAGTACTGCGGTGCGCTCGGACGAGAGGGTGTCGAAGGGTTGGTGGTGGTAGAGACGGAGTTCTTCGAAGGAGAGTTCGGGGTGTCCACCGAGGCCCCAGGATAGGTACGTGCTTGAAAGGATTATGCCGGAGGTTATCATGGTGGTTGTGCGTAAGGCGTCGAAGGAGGGGAGGGTGTCGAGGGGTTGGTGGTAGAGACGGAGCTCTTCGAAGGAGAGTTCCGGGTGCCCTCCAAGGCCCCAGGATAGGTACGTGCTTGAAAGGATTATGCCGGTGGTTATCAGGGAGGTTGTGCGTAAGGAGTCGGAGGAGGAGGGGAGGGGAGAGAGGAGGGTTGTCATGGTTGGTTGTGTGAAGGTGTGGTGGTTTGTGGGTTTTGTCGTGGTGGTGGAGGATGAAGATTGGTGTTGTGTTTTGTTAGGGGAGGTTGAGTCAGAGGTGCTTGAGTCAGGGGCGACGTGTCGCAGACGCGTATTCACGTGGTTGATAACTTTAAATTTCGGGAAGGGTTAGGGTGATGCACGAGACGGATTACCACATTCGGGACACCCACCGGGTGAAGCGCAGTTATCAAACAAAGCAAGCAGCAACAAAATTTCAGGAACACAAGCCAAAAAAAATGGCTTCCCCCAATTTATTCCAGGTATTACATTACAACGCACTCTAAAACAACACTTCCTAAACCCTCACACTCTCCGGCGGCCCCAAGTAGCTATCCTTGACACCCCCCAAATCCACCACAACCTTTTGCAACACTACACTCGGCTCCAACGCCCACACCTTCAACGTCTTCTTCCCCACCGCCAGTACCATATGCTTCGTCACACTCTTCCACACATTCCCATCCGCAACCGCCTGTTCCCACCCCTTCGGCATCGCCAACGGATTCGCCAGCTCCGGAATATACCGGACCGTCTGCGGCTCTTCGTCGTCGAGGGCAATCGCATACTTCAGTGGCCGCCCAGGGCCATTGTTGTTTAGTGCTGCGCCGAGGTATTTGCGCCGTATGTTGGGGCGGTGTGCAGGAAGAGATCGTATTCGAGACGTGGGCCAGAAGAAGTATCTTGGCTAGAGGCGGTGACGGGGAAGAGGGTTACTGCGTCGCCGCTGCGTCCGAGATGGCGGAGGGTGGAGTAGCGGACGTTTCCATTTGTGGAGTTTCGGGAAGAGTGCGAGGCTTCGATTGAGACGTGTTTGTTGGACTTGATGAATCTGTGGAAGGAGGAGGGGATGGAGGGTTGGTGGATGGGGAGGTGCACGGATAGAGGGTGGAAGTGTTCGTAGGATTCGGAGGAGGCGATGTCGATGAAGGCGATGTTCAGGCCTGATGGTGCGGAGTCCCAGTCGACGGTAACGGTGACGGTTACGTCGGTGGTGGGGTCTTGGGGGTCGATGATCCCTTAGAGGGAGAGACGTGAACCCAGGAATTGTGAGGAGTGACATTAAAAGCGAAGGCTTCGGTGCCGCGGGAGAAGATGCCGGTTGTGCGGTAGGGAACGGGAGCATAAGGGTCGAGTTGAGGGTGGACGAGAGTGTTGTTGTATTGTGCAGAGTTGTAGAAATCATCTCCGGGCACAGTGCCGTTTGAAGATTCGACGGCGACACCCATTGCGCCAGCGAGGGAGGTTTCGATGAGCTGCGTCTAGGCTAGCGGTGGAAGAGTGTTTCGCATCGGCTGCTGCCAATAATTGTAGCCAAGGTGTGTTTGATCCATCATGTGATTCCACTTTCCGTTTAGTAAGCCGTTGTATTCCTGCGTGAGATTGTGGTCATCCTGGAAACGCGAGAGAACATGCGAGGTGATTGCATTTGCTGAGTTGCAGCGCTGGTTGGCGTAGAGATTGTTCTTTGCGGTAGAGATGTGAATATCGTGGTCGATGTATGCTGCCTTTGTTGGATACAGAACCAGCTCAAAGAAAGGTGGCTGTCGTGCTGCCGGGAGCTTTGCATAAACGGCTTCGGCACGGGGGTGAGGTTCTTCCATTGTTCCAGAACGGTTTCGGCTTCCGAGTAGTGAATAACGCTGTAGGTTTTGGGGTCTACCAGCTCGTACTTTCGGCGTGCAGCATAGAATTCATAGAGCTCAACGATTTCGGCAATCTCTTCCGCAACATCTTCTCCGAACTCCCGGGCTGCCCAGGCCCTCTCGTAGTCGACAACCTTGTCGATTCCACCCCAGGCGTCAAAGTCGTATGCAAGATTGAGATAGTAGTCGATAGGCAGCTCGAGTGGTTTCAGATCTCCCACGTTTACAACCCAAATCTGCCGTGCATTGCGCTGGTACGTCAGGTGGAGCTGCTGTCAGGTCTTTTGAAGCGAAACGGTGTTAATTCATTCGTAGTCTCTTGGATCGCCAACATTTACCAGAGAGGTTAGAAGTGGCCAAAATATGGGGACAGAAGCTAGCTTACAGTCGAAATGGTAGTACATCCCCGCTGGGTTTGTCTCGTTTGCTAGGGGAAGTCGTCTGACATTGCCCCAGTTGTCGTCGGTCCACAGCAGTGACATCCTCTGGCACTCTCATGCCGTCCTCGTAGTAAGCTTGAATCTATCCAAAGTTGGTCATCTGCGGGAGAAATCTTTTTGAAGGGAGAGGAGAACGCACATCTTTATACAGACACCAAACTTGTGGAACGGTCGTAACATCCCTTTACCCCAAGTACGTTGCTCAAGATCTCCCTTTGGTCGCCCACAACCCTCGCAAGCAGTTCGGTAACCACAGTTTCTCCCAAGTTGTTGTCCCCATTCCTTCGCATTCCAATGGTCCACATATTCTCGTAATCTTTTGCCCTTTTAACGCCCTTCTCCCAGTACTTGTAGATGGCATCAGCGTTCAACGTATAATCCCACGTTCCATTTCCGAGAGTATTCCATTCCTTTGTCGACATCTGCAAGGGCTCGGTGTAAGATGTTGACATAACGATTCCATACAGACCTGCAGTCTCCTGGTTCTTGACGTTATCAACCGCAAACATCGAGTCCCACATAGTTGGCCAGAGGAAGTTTGCCTTCAGCCTGAGGAGAAGCTCAAACACTCTGCTGTAGAATTCGTGGTGATAACTGGGTCCGTATTCGCCGCGTGGAAAGTTTTCCTTCACCCAACCGGACAGTGCTGGCTGTTCGCCGTCGAGGAAGAATCCGCGGTATTTGATGGAAGGCTCTTCACGGATGAGTTGGGTGTTTAAGGCGTAGATACTACTGTGCTTCCGGGGCGCTACGTCTGCCCAGTAGTACCATCTACGTCGCAGTTAGTCCGCATTCCTTGTGATTCACTCATACAAAACACTTTCGGAGAACCAATCTGTTCGGAAACCTCGTAGATACCAAAAATTGTTCCACGCTTGTCACTACCGGCAATAACTAACGCCTGTGACATACCAGCAACGGGGTTCTTCACTAACTGTGTTTGGAAGCTTTCCCATTTCCCCTTTATCTTGGAAACATCCAACTTTTTGGACGAAACCAAGAAGTCAATTAAAGCCGATTTCCCGATTGTTCCGATGATGATGGCAGTTTTCATATTGACCGCTTTGGTAGTCGAAGTAGTGATTGAGATTGTTAGATTCTGCCCTGTCACTCTCCCGAAGTCGGCGGAGAGATCGTGAGCTGCGCAGATGACGCCGGGGTAGTCTGGGGCTATTAAGAGGAGGAAGTAGCACTAAAAGAGGTATACCGTTTCCTGCAACACGGATTCCGGCGATAGCTTTCCCATTTTCAAAAAGTGCCAGTGCACCCTTCTCTTTACTAGATGAGACAATTGGTTTCCGACCGAGAGCTAATACAAACGTAATGTAGAGAGTTGCTGCAAGAAGCAGTGCCCGCATGAGGCGGAAGTGTTACCCCCCATGGCGAAAATGACTGGACCTGATTCGACTCGAACCAGGATGGAGATCCAGAAAAATGGTGGACCGAAACGCATCCTTTATATTGCGTAGGAAACATTGACAGGCCAAAACCCATACCTGTAGATCCGGTAAATATCAATGGTTTGGACGGATTATCCCGGTGTACTGGTCGTTGAGGACTCCTGATTCTCGATTAGTACTCATTCCGTTCATTGGGATAGACACTGGGTAAAACAATACCATTTAAGGACGGCTCTTGAGGAACGAAAGCCCAAGCTAGCGGGAAACCCGGGCTGCACCTCCGGCGGTAGCCGTTGAGTTCAAGTAGCATATGTAGGGTGGTGTCAAATGCAAGCCCCCCGCCGATATCGAAATATCATCATCGTACATAGTTGTTCGACATAGGCTAATTACTAGCACAACTTCTAGGTACAATTAGTTGCGGAAGGCGGACTGTCAACGATAAATAGGCTGAATTCTGCCTCGTAGTTAGATCCTTGAAGCGCAAGATCTCCACAAAACGTTCCTGCTGTCGATAGTGGGGTCTCGGTACCAAGAACTGATGATCGGTTGTATTCCTTGTAATTTGCGGTGAGCCCAGCCGGACATGGGTAAATAATAAAGCTCTTTTTCGGGTCAAGCCGATTTGGTGGAGAGAGGTCAAATTATCTACGACCGAAGGGATGAAAAGGAGACGGAATAAGGACGGATGTTGAAATCGGGAGTCGGAGTAGAGTGAAGGTTGAGTGAGGAGTGGATGATGTGTGGACATGTGTTAGTTGCGTTTCACGGTTGTTACTCCAACCATCGCGACAACGCGACACCACCACCACCGAAATTTCTTCTTACTGGCTTCACTAATACGTTTGAATTTCCTTTTGATAATTTCCACTCATTTGCCTTTCATTATGTACCGTTACTGTGTGCTCGTATGTACACCTTATTTCAAGGAGCGAGCTTGGGAGTGACGAGAAATTCTGAGCACGAGAGGGCCGTTACCTTAATTGTGTTTCGTTGATATACATGCGCATATGCCTCGGATGAAGTGTTGAAACGATGCTGGACGACAGATGAGGTGTACGTGTAAGAGCCGTATTAACCGAAAGGAGAACTGTACGATCACCGGGTTTTGTGCTACCTTCGATCTTTTCTTTGTTTGTTTCACATCGAAGAGACGAGACCACCGAGGACAATAACCTCCACTCACTGCCAACTTGAATCCTTTGTTCAACCTGCGAACCTGCTATAAAATGGCCGCTTCAATTTGTGCAGCCGATGCGCAACAATCTGGTTTTTACAACCTCTTTTTCCTTCGGTAAGGTTATTCCGTACTGATCATTCATAGACACACTTTGGTATTGGGGGCCGGATTAATTGCCATACGATATTCGAACCTACTGCAATCAACACCGTAAAGTGCAGTACTGGAACCATGATTCACTTGCGCGGTGGAGCTGGTAGACCGGACTTTGATGGATTGAAATACGACGGTGGCGAACCAGCACAAGGAGATCCCGGCCCTCTGCAAACACTGCCTTATTTCTATGGCCCACGACCATGGCGATTTCGTGAAGAGATTTTATCTGGGGCTTTG